GATCACTTTCTAGTTGTAGCTACACTGAGAGTAAAAGGTAGATGGGATACAAGGAGAATAGAAGCATCACGGAAGAGAGAGGTGAAGGGTTATAAACTAAAAGAGGAGGCAGTTAGGGTAAGATATAAACAGCTATTGGAGGATAGATGGGCTAATGAGAGCATAGGCAATGGGGTCGAAGAGGTATGGGGTAGGTTTAAAAATGTAGTGTTAGAGTGTTCAGCAGAAGTTTGTGATTACAAGAAAGTGGGTGCGGGAGGGAAGAGGAGCGATTGGTGGAATGATGATGTAAAGAGAGTAGTAAGGGAGAAAAAGTTAGCATATGAGAAGTTTTTACAAAGTAGAAGTGATGCAAGGAGGGAAGAGTATATGGAGAAAAAGAGAGAGGTTAAGAGAGTGGTGAAGCAATGTAAAAAGAGAGCAAATGAGAGAGTGGGTGAGATGTTATCAACAAATTTTGTTGAAAATAAGAAAAAGTTTTGGAGTGAGATTAACAAGTTAAGAAAGCCTAGAGAACAAATGGATTTGTCAGTTAAAAATAGGAGAGGAGAGTTATTAAATGGAGAGTTAGAGGTATTGGGAAGATGGAGGGAATATTTTGAGGAATTGTTAAATGTTGATGAAGATAGGGAAGCTGTGATTTCGTGTATAGGGCAAGGAGGAACAACATCTTGTAGGAGTGAGGAAGAGCCAGTTGTGAGTGTGGGGGAAGTTCGTGAGGCAGTAGGTAAAATGAAAGGGGGTAAGGCAGCCGGGATTGATGGGATAAAGATAGAAATGTTAAAAGCAGGTGGGGATATAGTTTTGGAGTGGTTGGTGCAATTATTTAATAAATGTATGGAAGAGGGTAAGGTATCTAGGGATTGGCAGAGAGCATGCATAGTTCCTTTGTATAAAAGGCAAAGGGGATAAAAGAGAGTGCAAAAATTATAGGGGGATAAGTCTGTTGAGTATACCTGGTAAAGTGTATGGTAGAGTTATTATTGAAAGAATTAAGAGTAAGACGGAGAATAGGATAGCAGATGAACAAGGAGGCTTTAGGAAAGGTAGGGGGTGTGTGGACCAGGTGTTTACAGTGAAACATATAAGTGAACAGTATTTAGATAAGGCTAAAGAGGTCTTTGTGGCATTTATGGATTTGGAAAAGGCGTATGACAGGGCGGATAGGGGGGCAATGTGGCAGATGTTGCAGGTGTATGGTGTAGGAGGTAGGTTACTGAAAGCAGTGAAGAGTTTTTACGAGGATAGTGAGGCTCAAGTTAGAGTATGTAGGAAAGAGGGAAATTATTTCCCAGTAAAAGTAGGCCTTAGACAAGGATGTGTGATGTCACCGTGGTTGTTTAATATATTTATAGATGGGGTTGTAAGAGAAGTAAATGCGAGGGTCTTGGCAAGAGGCGTGGAGTTAAAAGATAAAGAATCACACATAAAGTGGGAGTTGTCACAGTTGCTCTTTGCTGATGACACTGTGCTCTGGGAGATTCTGAAGAGAAGTTGCAGAGATTGGTGGATGAATTTGGTAGGGTGTGCAAAAGAAGAAAATTGAAAGTGAATACAGGAAAGAGTAAGGTTATGAGGATAACAAAAAGATTAAGTGATGAAAGATTGGATATCAGATTGGAGGGAGAGAGTATGGAGGAGGTGAATGTATTCAGATATTTGGGAGTGGACGTGTCAGCGGATGGGTCTATGAAAGATGAGGTGAATCATAGAATTGATGAGGGGAAAAGGGTGAGTGGTGCACTTAGGAGTCTGTGGAGACAAAGAACTTTGTCCTTGGAGGCAAAGAGGGGAATGTATGAGAGTATAGTTTTACCAACGCTCTTATATGGGTGTGAAGCATGGGTGATGAATGTTGCAGAGAGGAGAAGGCTGGAGGCAGTGGAGATGTCATGTCTGAGAGCAATGTGTGGTGTGAATATAATGCAGAGAATTCGTAGTTTGGAAGTTAGGAGGAGGTGCGGGATTACCAAAAAATGTTGTCCACAGGGCTGAGGAAGGGTTGTTGAGGTGGTTCGGACATGTGGAGAGAAGGAGCGAAACAGAATAACTTCAAGAGTGTATCAGTCTGTAGTGGAAGGAAGGCGGGATAGGGGTCGGCCTAGGAAAGGTTGGAGGGAGGGGTAAAGGAGGTTTTGTGTGCGAGGGCTTGGACTTCCAGCAGGCATGCGTGAGCGTGTTTGATAGGAGTGAATGGAGACAAATGGTTTTTAATACTTGACGTGCTGTTGGAGTGTGAGCAAAGTAACATTTATGAAGGGATTCAGGGAAACCGGCAGGCCGGACTTGAGTCCTGGAGATGGGAAGTACAGTGCCTGCACTCTGAAGGAGGGGTGTTAATGTTGCAGTTTAAAAACTGTAGTGTAAAGCACCCTTCTGGCAAGACAGTGATGGAGTGAATGATGGTGAAAGTTTTTCTTTTTCGGGCCACCCTGCCTTGGTGGGAATCGGCCAGTGATAATAAAATAAAATAAATCTATTACAGACAAGTAGTTAAAATCATGACGAGTTACATCATGATAATATTCTGTAATTTGATGTTGGATGGTTACAGAACCGACAAAATTTATTTCCATGCTAAAGTCCTGCAGGAACAATGAGAAAGGAGCTAAAATATTTTGAACCTCTGGAGGGAGGACGAGAGCTATAATTATTATAATCTATACTAGTAATTGTGGGAATTTGTCACCTTCGTGGTGAGTGATATGCATGTTCAGGAGGTAGATGGGTCTTAAATATATATGATGACTTCGCTGATAGAATCGGTCGGTGAAGAGCCATCAGCTGCGCCAGAAGTTGGTATGTTGACATGGGGATTCGTAAGGTTTGTGGTGTTGTCAGTATTAGCGTAGAAGCTTTACCGGGGATACTTATAAAATGTTGCCGCCAGGAAAAATGGTTACAAAAACAGCGATGGCAAATAATGTATAAAACACCTTAAATTGGCATGCGCAAGGATGTTCTTGAAAGTGATGACAGTGTGCACCCAGTGGTGCTAGAACCTGTCGTCATCGTCCGTAGAAAGTTCCTAGAACCTGACGTCGGCGTGCGCACAGAGAGTCTACAACCTGACGTCAGTGAGCGCTCTGAGTTGGATTTAGAACCTCAGGTGATTGTGAAAACAGCTCGATAAAAATCTTCAGGTCAGGAAATATTAGGAGTTGCATTATATTAACGAGACTCCAGTAACTACTGAATGGGATGACGATGGATAATTGTTAACGTAATATAAATGGGGTGACATTGAGGTGAAGCCCTGGAAATATCCGATGCTACACAAATTTGGATAGCCGTGGATACTTCAGAAATCAGGGAGATTCTCAGGTTCCAAACCAAGCCGGAGTGGAACATACGGTGAGAATAAATTCCCTGTCACCATACAGAAGCAACCGGTGAGCGACGAAGAGATGATAATACTATGCAAGCTAAGAAAATGTAATATCCCAGGAGATGGAGTTGTGTTGAGGCAATACGCTAGGCTTGCCTAACATTGGGTGCCCTGCATGAAAACCATATAATCCATGGTTCTTTAACCAGTCTAATGTCATCAAATCGACAGAGCAAGGTGTTGTTGCAACTACACTCATAGATTATAGTCGATGTGTTGAAATTGGGCCAGAATACCAACAGGAAATAGAAAAAGGCATAAAACCACTAGTTAAAATGTTCACCTCGATATTCCTGACTGGGAAAAGAAAGAAGGAGGACCTGAATATAATAAATAATACACTTGAGAATCACATCCTGTCATCTTATTTAATGGCAGAAATTATTGAAGATTTTTTGGAACATGTGAAAAATGAAATAACTGAAGAGGCAGAATATTAACTTCAGTTTAATTTCTAAAGGTCTTGTCCACAATACAGCGGTGGAAAAGTTTGGTCTCTCAGGACGACATGTCAATTAAACTCTAGCATGGAAGAATATTCCACATCCACACTTGGGGAAAACTCTGGCGAGGCTCAATCATCGGCACCCAGATCTGGATAAAAATGTGGAGTGGCTGGGCTAGTGGAGTGAGGTTTTAAAAGTATGGTGTGACACCATAGATGCTTAGTGATTCTAGAGTTGTTCATTCTCTTTACCTCATGAGGCCTCTTTTCAGAATTGAATCAAAAGGTAGCCACTTTTGAATAGTTAGGTCTGGTTATTTTGGCTGACTGTGGCAGAAAATAAGTTGCGTTAAATAACTATGAACTAGTTACACCTGCAGCAATGTTCACCGAATTGTTAGTCGCCTAGATCCACAGCTCGCAGAGAACATGGTGTGAATGGATTTGGCAACCACATCTGCTCAAGGCGAAGCTGAGGGTGCCTAAGCTCAAGATACGGTGATTAACAGAGGAAAACAAAAGGATTCATAGTAATTATCCTGTTGTGAATTCTCACAGCTGAGGATGAAGAAGACGGATGGAGAATACCGTAGAACCTTCGAACTCGTTTTCTGTGCTACCCGACGAATGTGGGTTGACAAATGGGAACGTCACAACAAACACTAAGGAAGGATTGGCACACAAGTGTGAGTTGACTAAATACGTCTCCCCTCTACCTCCTGTCCTCCACTGTTGTCAGGTTGAGTCTCCTTAACCTCTACTCGTAGGACAAACCTCTCAGCTTGGGGACTAGTCTTGTTGCAAACCTTTGCACTTCTCTAATTTTAACCTCTACTCGTAGGACAAACCTCTCAGCTTGGGGACTAGTCTTGTTGCAAACCTTTGCACTTCTCTAATTTCATGGCGTGTTTGACCACGTGTGGGTTCCATACTGGTGCTGCATACTCCAGTATGCGCATGATGTACACGGTGTACAGTGTCATTGTTGCGTACTCTGAACGGGACAAAAGGTATATAATATTGTTTATTATATTTGATTATATTATTATGAGGTAGGGTGTAACATGTATTACATGTAACACATATGCTGTCTGCAGTACCCTTTGTTACGTCATCACACCCGGCCTCATTCAGTTTACCTGACGGGCTCACTCAGTTCACTTGGCGGGCTCACTCAGTTCACCTGACGGGCTCACTCAGTTCACGGTTCATGTGATGGCTTACACCGGCTGGACTTAGTATCCTGCTAGCTAGTTTCCTTGATCGCCTCATCCCACGCCGTGTGTAACACTAAGAGAAGGTAGTGTCGTGTGACACGGAGAGACGGTAGTGTCGTGACGGAAGTGTCGTGTGACACTGAAAGTAGTGTCGAGTAACCCTGTGAAAGGTAGTGTCGTGTGACACGGGGAAGATAGGGTCATAACAATGTACTTTGTGCCTATTATTGGAAGAATGTCGTGTGACACGGGTGTTAATGGATGTGTAATAACACTGAGAATAGTGTTTGGTAATAATGGATATTTCTTTGTAGTTAATATTATGTACCAAAGAGAAGTGTATAAACTCTTATTTTATGCTAAACATATATAAAAACAATTGATGTGTGTTTTGTACTCCCGAGGGATTATGTTATTACAATTCTGGTAATAGGCTTATTGTTAAATGTCTTAATTCTCAACGTTAGAAAGATACAAAAACAGGCAGAATGTTTGTTATAAGACTTGATACCCAAAAATATGGTAATGAACTTGATTACCAGAATGTAACATTGTAATAGCAATGAATGACTCCTTACGTAGATGTCGAAATGCTATTTTTAGGTTTGCTAGGCCTCTATATGCTTCAGCCCTTATTTGGTTGATATGCATCTCATGAGATGTGCTCGGTATAATGCTCACCTCCGAATCCTTTACCTTGAATGAGTTTTGCAGTCTTTGATCTCTTAGGCAGTGCTCCATCTGCGGTCTTCTTTGCTCTTCCCCTAGCTTCATAACTTTGCACTTACTGGGCTTAAACTCCAAGAGCTATTTGTTGGTACAGGCTTAAACCCTGTCCAAGCTTGTAGGCTTACCTGATCCTCTTTCCTTTGTGTTCTAATCAGCTACACATCGTCTGCAAACGGCGACACATCTGAGTCTATTCCTTCTATCATGTCATTCACATACACATGAAACAGCAACGGAAGTAGGACTGACCCTTATGGTACCCTACTAGATACAGGCATCTACTCTGGCACCTCGTATCGTACTATCACACATTGTTTCCCTATTGTCAGATATTCCCTGATCCATTGCCTATTCCTGCCCACTCCTCTAGCTTTTCAACTAGTCTCTTGAGTTGTACTGTGTCGAAAGTCTTCTAAAAGTTCAAGAAGAGGCAATCTACCCATCCATCTCTCTCTTGTCTTGTTTCTGCCACCTTCCTGTAGAATACAAATAGGTTTATGATGCAGGTTTTCCCTTCCTTAAAACTGTGGTGGTTGTCATGTATAAGCTCATTCCTTCTAGATGCTCCACCATTCTTTTCCACATAATCATCTTCGTAACTTTACATACTATATATGTTAGCAATATTGGACTGTAATTTAATGCGGGTTGTCTGTCACCTTTCTTGTAAATCGGGATTACATTTGCTGTCACCCACACCAAAGGCAGTTGCCCTCTTTCGGTAGATTTATTGAAGATTTTTGTTAGTGGAACACACACAGTGCATCTGCTCGTTCTCTTAGGCCCAAGGAGAGATATCATCTAGACCCACCGCCTTTGAGGTATCTAGTACTCTAGCTGTTTCTTCACTTCCTCCTTGGTTGTGTACAGTGTCCAATACTTGCTGGTGCACCCTACCACCTAGGTTTGCTTGAAGCCTCTCTGTCTCCACTGTGAATACTTCCCTGAATCTTGACCTGAGCTCCTCATATACTTCCTTGTAGTTCCCTGTGAGCTCTCCTTCTTCCTTCCTTAGCCTGATAACATAGTCCATGACTGTTGTTTTCCTCATGAAGTGGCAGTATAACAACTCTAAGTCAGATTTAGCTTTAATCCTATGTCATTCTCATATTGACGCTGTGCTTCTCTCCTTATCTATGCATACTCATTTCTGGCTGTGCGGCTGAGCTCCTTGTTTTCCTGGGTCATTCGCCTTATTCTAGTACACTTGGCTTTGGCCTCTCCACACCTTTGGGTAAACCATGGGCTCACTTAGGTCTTCCTGTTGTTTCTTTTTTCCCTCTGGCACGAACTTCTCCTCTGCCTCCCTGTGCTTGGTGGTCATGTGTTCCATCATTTCATTTACCGTCTTTCCCTCTACATCTCTTGTCCTTGCATCTCATGTAGGAATTCCCTCATTCTTGTGTAGTCCCCTTTTCGGAAGATTGACTTCTACCATCTTTCTCGTACATCCTTCACTCTCTATTGTTAACTCTACTGGTGTGTGTGTGTGTACTCACCTGCTCCTCGCCGGGTCACCATCTGGAGAAGACCCGGGCCGGAAGTACCGGCAAATCACAATCAATCAATCAATCACCTGCTCCTGGCCCCGCATCTTCACTGCCATCCGGCTCCATGAGCTTTATCATATCTCTTCTTGAAACTATGTATGGATCTTGCCTCCACTACATCACTCTAAACTATTCCACTTCCTGACAACTCTGACTTGTCAGGAAATAACATCCCTGTGACTTACCTCAGTCTTCAACTTCCACCAGTGACCCCTTGTTTCTGTGTCCCATCTCTGGAACATCCTGTCTATGTTCACCTTGTCATTTCTTCTCAGCATTTTATATGCCCTTATCGTGTTCTCTTTTGCTATCCTCCACTGTCGTTAGTGGAGGATACAACATGCCCCTTAGCTCCGGGACTAGTCTCGCTGCAAGCCTTTGAACTTTCTCTAATTTCTTGACGTGCTTGACCAGGTGTGATTTCCAAAACTGATGCTGCATACTCCAGTATAGGCCTGACGTACACTGTGTACAGATTCCTGAACGATTCCTTACTGAGATGTCGGAATGCTATTCTTAGATTTGCAAGTCGCCCATATCCTGCAGAAGTTATTTGGTTGAAGTGTGCCTCAAAAGATGTACTCGGTACTATGCTCACCATGAGAACCTTTCCCTTGAGTGAGGGTTGCAGTCTTTGGCCCAAAGACTGTATTTTGTCTGCGGTCTTCTTTGCCCTTCCCCGTTCTTCATGACTTTGCACTTGGTGGGGCTAAACTCTTGGGACCCTTTACTTGACCATGCTTGCAGCCTGTCAAAATGTATGTGTGTGTGTGTGTGTGTGTGTGTGTGTGTGTGTGTGTGTGTGTGGTGTGTGTGTGTGTGTGTGTGAGTACTCACCTAATTGTGGTTGCAGGGGTCGAGACTCAGCTCCTGGCCCCGCCTTTTCACTGACCGCTACTGGGTCCTCCCTCTCCCTGCTCTATGAGCTTTACCATACCTCGTCTTAAAACTATGTATGATTCCTGCCTCCACTACAACACTTGTCAGACTATTCCACTTCCTAACAACTCTGTGGCTGAATAAATACTTCCTAACAACTCTGTGGCTGAATAAATACTTCCTAACATCCCTTTGGCTCATCTGAGTCTTCAACTTCCAATTGTGACCCCTTGTTTCTGTGTCCCATCTCCTGGAACATCCTGTCTCTGTCCACCTTATCTATTCCACGCAGTATTTTGTGTCGTTATCATGTCACCCCTGACCTTCCTGTCCTCCAGTGTCGTCAGACCGATTTCCCTTAACCTTTCTTCGTAGGACATTCCCCTTAGCTCTGGAGCGTGTGTATTTTCGTGTATGTATGTGTGTGCGTGTGTATGTGTATATGTGTAAGTGTATGTGTGTGAGTTTGTATATGTGTGTACGTGTGTGTGTGTGTGTGTACTCGTCTAATTGTGGTTGCAGGGGTCGAGACTCAGTTCCTGGCCCCGCCTCTTCACTGACTGCTACTGGGTCCTTCCTCTCCCTGCTCCATGAACTTTATCATACCTCTTCTTAAAGCTATGAATGGATCCTGCCTCCACTAAATCGCTTCCCAAACTATTCCACTTCCTGACTGCTCTGTGACTGGAGAAATACTTCCTAACATCCCTGTGATTCATCTGAGTCCTCAACTTTCAACTGTGTCTCCTTGTTGTTGTGTCCCATCTCTGGAACGTTGTCTGTCCACCTTGTCAATTCCTCTAAGTATTTTATATGTCGTTTCCATGTCCCCCCATCTCTCCTGTCCTCCAGTGTCGTGTGTGTGTGTGTGTGTGTGTGTGTGTGAGTGAGTTAATTAGTTGATAATATTAGGTGAAATGTAGAGGGTAATGTGAGTCTGGACTCGTCAGTAGTAATACACCTTTGATTACCAAGCTTTATGTGCAGGCTGGCTGCTGATGAGGTGCACATGACATAATTGGACTTGAAGTTCCCCTGTGAATCATTCTCCTTTTACACCTCCCTTCATTTTGGTTGTCCCCATTGGAACACTTTCCTGTTGGACACTTGTCTCTTGAACACGACTCTTCTGAAAACTCATTGGAACACTTTCCTGTTGGACAATTGTCTCTTGAACACGACTCTTCTGAAAACACGTTGGAACACTTTCCTGTTGGACAATTGTCTCTTGAACACGACTCTTCTGAACACTTCATTTCGATACCTCTCTGTCGTACAACCAACAATCAGATACTTTTTGCTTTGAAGAGCATCGTGAAGACCTTTCTGCTGGCCCAGGAAGCATCAAACTCTATTGTCAAAATAAGGAAAAATGAACTGGTAATTGCAAATCCCTTTGCTGTGTTGCAAGACCAATGATGACCATACAATTCAAGAACATATGAGGAAAACGGTAAGGAATACCAGAGGAATAGCAAAGAGTATATATGTTATTAGAGATTTTTGTGTAACGTAAACTTGTATCTAGTTTTATGATAGATTAACTATAAAAGTTTGATAATAGATTGTCTACTTTCTGCAAGAATAGAAAATTTTATAGGTAGAATGTATCAACATTATGTTTGGTGGTAACAAAGATACAATTATTTGCCAGAGTTTGTGGCAAAAATAATTTCCATTCTATATACATACATATATATATATATATATATATATATATATATATATATATATATATATATATATATATATATATATATATATATATGTCGTGCCAAATATGTAAAACTGGTCAATTGGCAAGAACTCATTCAAAATTAAGTCCTTTCTAAAATTTTCTCTTATACGTTTAAAGATATATTTTTTTCATTAATGTTAATGTAAAAAATTTTTATTTTGCTCCAAAAGAATCTTATAAAACTTATAATTATAACAAGAACAATTTATTTTAGCCTAACCCAACTAAATATATTTTAAATACGTTTACAATAATTTAGTACTAAACAAACACAATCAAATATATTTTTTTCGTTAGGTTCAGAATGATTTTGGCGAAGTTATTGCATACATAAATTTTCACTTGTCCTATATGGCAAGATGAACGTTGCTATTTAAGCCGAGATCGCAAGTTCTGCCTATTCGGCACGACATATATATATATATATATATATATATATATATATATATATATATTATATATATATATATATATATATATATATATATATATATATATATATATATATATATATATATATATATATATGTTGTTCTAAGCCTTTCACACTGAAATTGCAGAAATTTCTTCAAGCGGAATTCAAAGAGAATGGAAGGCAGCTATAAGTACGTACCTTGACAATTGATGGGACAAGATGGAAAGAATCTATGACGGTAATGAAGAAGATTTGAAGGATATGACAAAATCCACTAAGTTTTAGGTTTAACTGAGGTCAGTGCTCAATGCAATTTGCTTTAGAGTTAACGAAATACTTTTGAATGTTTTAGCAATCATAAAATTCCATACCAATCGCTGCTAATATTTAAGTATTTAGAGTAGAAAGCAATGTTTGACACTTTCAGTATTTTGGACTTATACGATTGAAATGTTTTGCTGTTGTTTTCTGTCATCCAATGGTCGTACTCAACTATCCAGTGGTTGTTGACAATCGCCCAGCCGTCGAAAATGATTTTCCAGTTGACTTACATAGTCGTCCAGTGTTAGTACATGATCATCCAACCCTGGTACATGATTGTCGTATGACTTGCATGATCGTCCAGTACTCTGCAAGATTTTCAAGTCGTGACGATTAAATGCAGCTCAAAAGTGGTGTTTTATCGTGAAAGAAGAAAGTTCCTGAGTAAAACTGTTAGTTTTAATGGCTAGATTAAGATTTTTCTGACGGTTGAAGTGTGTAATCCATTTTAAGACTTCTGTAAACAGTTCTCTGGTTATAAGAAAGGGCAATGGGAGAGGCGAGGAAATGTTAAAAATATTTTGCAGTAACAACAAGCCAGGAGAATAATATTATTCTGCCAGAGATTTAAGCGCATGAGTTCAGGGTAACATTAATCAGGATCGCAGCTAGAATCTCATTCGGACTTGGAGCTATGCCAGTTTGTAAATAAACGATATTCGAATATATGTGTATCCTTCAAACCCTTGTTTTGCAAGGCCAATATTATTATTTAGTCACAGGCTGAGAATTCTTGGCCAGTTATAATATGTTTTGTTTTTAGCTGTTACTGCCACTGCGTATGGCTAAAAAAAATTGTAGCTGTTATGAAAATATTTTTGTAGCGATAACTGAGGGTGCAGGATCATAAATGAACGGGAGCCTCTCTCTCTCTCTCTTAGCTGTAACTGTTCATCGATTTTCTTGTAAGCAGTTCCTATTTCTGCGACAGCCTTACCTCTCGAACTTCAACTTCGCCGCAATGCACGATCTGTCTGTCATGCTTTCCCCTCGGTTATCGTCATCGCCCAGCTGATAGTGAGGAATACAAACACAACAACGAGAGGTAATTTGTTCCTCAGCACAGTTTTGTACCACTATTAGGGTTTCTGTAGCCAATGGCCCTAGGAGAAAAACTGAGATAATTTCCCGAAAAAAAACGGTGATAATCTCATCGAAACAACAGAAAACACAATGGCTACAACTTTCTCTTCCAGTAGGAAATGCTAATTACATCATGATTCCCCTACATCTTCTAAGAAGCACGAAAACCTTGGCAACTTCAATTAAATTCTCGTATAAAAACTATAATTATGTATGTGTAAAATTCTCACCTTTATCATCTTAAAATATTTAAGTAAAGACAACCTTAAAAACTGTTTTTTTCTCCAATACAACACTTGTTAAAATCTGTGATTGATTTTAAACGTCGTCTATATCAATAAAACGATATATTTCGCAAAATAGGTGCAGAAAATCACAGTATTAATTTTAGTCACGCCAAAGTTTTGACAGGATGCAACAACCGCTTCGTTAATCTTCGTTTGGTATATACCAAACGAAGATTAATGAAGCGGTGACAAATAGCAATGTTTCTAATTTCAATATTATTAACGAGAAAGTCGAATCTCTTTTCGAAATGCTTATTGTAAAATTAAAGAAAGATATAAAGTGGGTTCATAGCATCCGAAAATGCTATAATTCACTACCCATTGTTTCTAGATTTTACCTATAATAATTATAATTGTTGAAAATGCTTAAAATAGAAATACTTGTTTGATAATTAAGCTGTATATATGTGGGCAAGCTGATAAGAACTTCCTTGGTTAGCTTCAAAAGTTGGTTTGAAAAATATGAGGGTAAAGTTTGATTTGAATGTGGCACTCTTGGTTTAGACTAGTATGCCTTCCGAAGTGCATCTGTGAAGGTATGCCTTCCGAAGTGCATCTGTGAAGGTATGCCTTCCGAAGTGCATCTGTGAAGGTATGCCTTCCGAAGTGCATCTGTGAAGGTATGCCTTCCGAAGTGCATCTGTGAAGGTATGCCTTCCGAAGTGCATCTGTGAAGGTATGCCTTATGAAGTGCATCTGTGAAGGTATGCCTTCCGAAGTGCATCAGTGAAGGTATGCCTTCCGAAGTGCATCTGTGAAGGTATGCCTTTCGAAGTGCATCTGTGAAGGTATGCCTTCCGAAGTGCATCTGTGAAGGTATGCCTTCCGAAGTGCATCTTGTGAAGGTATGCCTTCCGAAGTGCATCTGTGAAGGTATGCCTTCCGAAGTGCATCTGTGAAGGTATGCCTTCCGAAGTGCATCTGTGAAGGTATGCCTTCCGAAGTGCATCTGTGAAGGTATGCCTCCGAAGTGCATCTGTGAAGGTATGCCTTCCGAAGGGCATCTGTGAAGGTATGCCTTCCGAAGTGCATCTGTGAAGGTATGCCTTCCGAAGTGCATCTGTGAAGGTATGCCTTCCGAAGTGCATCTGTGAAGGTATGCCTTCCGAAGTGCATCTGTGAAGGTATGCCTTCCGAAGTGCATCTGTGAAGGTATGCCTTCCGAAGTGCATCTGTGAAGGTATGCCTTCCGAAGTGCATCTGTGAAGGTATGCCTTCCGAAGTGCATCTGTGAAGGTATGCCTTCCGAAGTGCATCTGTGAAGGCTGCACCTAAACTGCAGCCTTCCAAATTACTTAACAGAGCTTGATAAGGGTCTCAGGCATACGTGAAATATTTGCATTTTTTTCTGTGCTAATTAAAGTGGGTAATTCGCATGTTTTTCGAATTACCCACTTGCAAATAGGTGCATGTGACGAGTGGGGTTCCACAAGAGCCAGTCCTAGGTCCGGTGCTATTTCTTGTATATGTGAATGACGTGACAGAAGGTATAATCAGAGGTGTGCTATTCGCAGACGATTATGAAACTAATGGAGAGAATACAAGCAGACGAAGATCAGGTACGCCTACAAGGGGATCTGGACAGGCTTCAAGCCTTATCCGACAAATGGCTCTGGAGTTCAACCCTGAAAGTGCTGGGCTGTGTGTGGTGCTGGACTGTGTGTGGTGCTGGGCTGTGTGTGGTGCTGGACTGTGTGTGGTGCTGGGCTGAGTGTGGTGCTGGACCGTGTGTAGTGCTGGGCTGTGTGTGGTGCTGGGCTGTGTGTGGTGCTGGACTGTGTGTGGTGCTGGACTGTGTGTAGTGCTGGGCTGTGTGTGGTGCTGGACTGTGTGTGGTGTTGGGTTGTGTGGTGCTGGGCTGTGTGTGGTGCTAGGCTGTGTGTGGTGCTGGACTGTGTTAGTGCTGGGCCGTGTATGGTGCTGGGCTGTGTGTGGTGTTTGACTGTGTGTGGTGCTGGACTGTGTGTGGTGCTGGACTGTGTGTGATGCTGGACTGTGTGTGGTGCTGGACTGTGTGTGGTGCTTGTCTGTGTGTGGTGCTGGACTGTGTGTTGTGCTGGACTGTGTGTGGTGCTGGGCTGTGTGTGGTGCTGGACTGTGTGTGGTGCTGGACTGTGTGTGGTGCTGGACTGTGTGTGGTGCTGGGCTGTGTGTGGTGCTGGGCTGTCTGTGGTGCTGGGCGTGTGTGGTGCTGGACTGTGTATGGTGCTGGACTGTGTGTGGTGCTTGGCTGTGTGTGGTGCTGGACTGTGTGTGTGCTGGGACTGTGTGTGGAGCGAGCTGTGTGTGGTGCTGGGACTGTGTGTGGTGCTGGGCTGTGTGTGGTGCTGGGACTGTGTGTGTGCTGGACTGTGTGTGGTGCTGGGCTGTGTGTGGTGCTGGGCTGTGTGTGGTGCTGGACTGTGTGTGGAGCTGGACTGTGTGTGGTGCTGGGCTGTGTGTGGTGCTGGACTGTGTGTGGTGCTGGGCTGTGTGTGGTGCTAGACTGTGTGTGGAGCTGGACTGTGTGTGGTGCTGGGCTGTGTGTGGTGCTGGACTGTGGTGTGGTGCTGGGCTGTGTGTGTGTGCTGGACTGTGTGTGGTGCTGGGCTGTGTGTGGTGCTGGACTGTGTGTGGTGCTGGGCTGTGTGGTGCTACGCTGTGTGTGGTGCTGGCTGTGTGTGGTGCTGGACTGTGTGTGGTGCTGGGCTGTGTGTGGTGCTAGGCTGTGTGTGGTGCGGGCTGTGTGTTGTGCTGGGCTGTGTGTGGTGCTGGGCTGTGTGTGGTGTGGACTGTGTGTGGTGCTGGACTGTGTGTGTGCTGGGCTGTGTGTGGTGCTGGACTGTGTGTGGTGCTGTTCTGTATGTAGTGCTGGGCTGTGTGTGGTGCTGGGCTGTGTGTGGTGCTGGACTGTGTGTGGTGCTGGACTGTGTGTGGTGCTGGGCTGTGTGTGGTGCTGGACTGTGTGTGGTGCTGTTCTGTATGTAGTGCTGGGCTGTGTGTGGTGCTGGGCTGTGTGTGGTGCTGGACTGTGTGTGGTGCTGTGCTGTATGTAGTGCTGGGCTGTATGTGGTGTTGTGCTGCATAGTTGGTGTCAGCGATGGTCAAGGCAATAGCTGCACTGCTGTCTTAATAACTGGCGACTGCCTGCTAATGTTCACCTACCCAGGTACCTTAATGTCTTCGTAGACCTGGTTCCCGCCAGTCACTGACTCGGACTCTACTTCTGCGTTCAGCTTTGACGGAGACTCCAGGCAGGGAGACAAACGGCTCGCAGGCTAACTAATTAGGCTCATAATTTACGCCAACCGTGAAAGCACGGAGTGTATCTGGCCAGTGTATGTAACTTAGCCGAGTGTGGAGGTTAGCTGTGTCTGAAGCTTGGCTGTTTGTGTAGCTGTGTTGTGCTAGTTGCCGCTGTGTGTGTGTGTGTTGCTGGGTTGTGCTAGTTGTCGCTGTGTGTGTGTGTGTTGCTGGGTTGTGCTAGTTGCCGCTGTGTGTGTTTGTGTGTTGCTGGTTTGTGCTAGTTGCCGCTGTGTGTGTGTGTTGCTGGGTTGTGCTAGTTGCCGCTGTGTGTGTGTTGCTGGGTTGTGCTAGTTGCCGCTGTGTGTGTGTGTGTTGCTGGGTTGTGCTAGTTGCCGCTGTGTGTGTTTGTGTGTTGCTGTGTTGTGCTAGTTGCCGCTGTGTGTGTGTGTTGCTGGGTTGTGCTAGTTGCCGCTGTGTGTGTGTGTGTGTTGCTGGGTTGTGCTAGTTGCCGCTGTGTGTGTTGCTGGGTTGTGCTAGTTGCCGCTGTGTGTGTGTGTTGCTTGGTTGTGCTAGTTGCCGCTGTGTGTGTGTTGCTTGGGTTGTGCTAGTTGCCGCTGTTTGTGTGTGTGTTGCTGGGTTGTGCTAGTTGCCACTGTGTGTGTTTGTGTGTTGCTGGGTTGTGCTAGTTGCCGCTGTGTGTGTGTGTGTTGCTGGGTTGTGCTAGTTGCCGCTGTGTGTGTGTGTGTGTTGCTGGGTTGTGCTAGCTGCTTTTCTTTGTGTTTTGGGAAGAGTTAAGCTTGTAGATTAGCAGCTGTGTTCTGCTGTGCTTGTGTGCATTGCCTGGCTGCTTGAGTAATTGGTTTCCAGGAGCAGTTCTGCTGTGTGGAGATGGAATGTGTATATAGCTCTGTTGTTTGTTGAGCTGGACGATGTATATAGCTCTGCTGTGAGTTGAGGTGGCCTGTATATATATATAGCTCTTCTGTCTGAGGGAGTGGGCCGTGTATACAGCTCTGGTGTGTAT